ATATATATATATCAGCCTCCTGATGAGTCGGTGAAACTCCGACGAAACAGTTTGTCACAGCCCCTCGTTTGTTGTCCTCTTCTCCCTCTCTGCCAAGGTTTACCGTAGGCAGTTCTATTTGACGATATATATAAATGTTTAGGAAAGTCCTGTAAAATGCCCCTACTCTCACCTTAGAAAGTTTTCAAGTGGTGAATCTGGTCGTATTCAGAGGTTAGATACGTTCAGGGTACTTGCCGTGTAGTGAGCATGCCTTAAACGACCAGTGTTGCTCTGTGACCCAGAATATTCCTAGCTGGTGACTGGCAGGCTCCAACCAAATACAACGAAACAGGGGGCAACAAGCAACAGCACCAAAAACAGATCCTAGATGACAAGTCCCACATGCAAGCACCGCCCCTCCTTCACAGGCCAAACGACGGGACAAGACCACCCAGGACAAAACTCTTGTCTGCAAAAAAAAGAAAAATCCCAGATTACATATCTATATACAGCAGATGGTCTTATTCGTCATCAAGACGTGGGTATTCCCATTTGTAAGCCGTTCTTACTGGGACAAAAAACATAAAAGACAATCCCAGATGACGATTCCCACATAAAAGCACCGCCCCCTCACACAGGCCGAACAACGGGAAGCAACCAACTAGGATGCCAAGACAATTCTTGTTCCGTCGTTTGGCTTGTGAAGGAGGGGCGGTGCTTGCATGTGGGACTTGTCATCTAGGATCTGTTTTTGGTGCTGTTGCTTGTTGCCCCCTGTTTCGTTGTATTTGGCTGTTCCTTTCCTCTTTTCTTTGCCTCTTTGCCCTTTGGCTGTGTGCAAGTGGGTCGATATGGCACACGGGGGTGGGGGCAGTCGCCGCTCAACCTACATCCACATGGGCGGCCTTGTACGCAAGAGGTTCTGAACAGGGGGAGTTGTAAGAGAGAAGATAGAAAAACGAATTACTTTTTTCTTGTTTTCTTTTGTTTTCTTCGCCTTTGCGCTCTGATATTCATGTGACAATATATACTCTGACGTTGCTAGCTCTCTGCTTTTGTAGATAAAGCGGCGAGCGCCGGGCCTGTACTAGCAGGCTCTTCTTTGGTTATGATAGAAAATATTTTCCTAATTTTCTTGTTATCATTTCTCCTTTTTTGCTTTACTCTTCCCCATTTATGGGGTATTTCATTTTGCGGACCTACTGTATGGTTCCGTTTTTAAACTATGGATATGGTAGAATTTGTTTTGGTAACCTTGTCTGCCTCCCGGTTGGTTTTATCCCGTTGTTCGGTCTATTTCGGCGAGCGTAGCGGTGCTTTCATGTGGGACCAGTCATCCGGGTTCTCTTTTATTGTCTTGGCATCCTAGTTGGTTGCTTCCCGCTGTTCGGCCTGTGTGAGGGGGGGTGATTTTATGTGGGAATCGTCATCTGGGATTGTTGTCCCAGTAAGAACGGTTTACAAATGGGAATACCCACGTCTTGATGACTAATAAGGCCATCTGCTGTATATAGATATGTAATCTGGGATTTCTCTTTTTTTCGCAGACATTCACTTATTTTTTGACCCAAAAAAATAAATAAAAAAAAACAAGGCCGCGGGCCAGACCTCATTGGCCACGGCCGCGGCTGACTTTCTAGGCCGCGGCGGCCAACTTGCCCGCAGCCTGGCCGCAGGTGTCACACCGGTTACCATTGGCGCGGCCATGTGCGGCGAGGGTACACAGTCGTCCGCTAGCGTTGTCCCCTGTTGTTCTTCAGGCGCACGTCATCGTTAGGCGTCGCCAACGGTCAGAACTTTTATTTTTTTATGGCATACGGAGACATCAATGGCCGGCCGAATGCAGTGCTCACTGGGTATGCTTCTCATCCGCTGTCCAGGTGGATGCGTCCGGCGTGTGGACTCCGGACGACAGTGCGGAGCATAATTGAATGACTGCCTCTGAAGCAGACACGCAGTCTGGGATGTTGACGATCTGCTGCATGAGCAACCTTCGCCTACGCATGGAAAGTTTCAACTTCATGACGCCCAGCACTCTCTCCGCACTACATCCGACATCGACCGCTGACACCGCCGCCCCCACTGCGCTCATCTCCGATGCAGACAGTCCTCTCCGTGTCCTCAACTGCTCGCCCTCCATCGATGCAGGTGCTTGTAACTGGTCGCACCTCGCCGAGGCTCAAAGGACAACCGCGCTGTCTGCCGGGAACCGCCGTACCTCGCACATCACCCTCCATCAACCTCGTGCAGGACGGGCTACGTCTGCAATCGCAGAGGACGACGTCGCGGAGCCACTGGAACACAAACTCCAAGCAAATGTCACAGGCAGCGTACTCGCAAAGAACCCCGTGAACTGGAGGGGTGATGACAACCCTCAACAACGCTGCCGTGTCGCCTGTGAACAGGTGCAAACGTCCACCACTGTTGTCGTCTGTCCGCTGGCCACATATATACCATGCACATCACAGTCTGCACCTCCACAACGGACGGCCTTTACTCGTTGATGAATCTCCCTCACACGACTGCCTGCCGTGCCAAAACGAAACCCCGCAACGACCTTCTGAGTGGGACCCTGTACGCCACCTTCGAAATTCGAATTTTGAACGGGGATGTTTGCCGCCTTTTCTTTCCCTTTGGAGAGGAAGGCCTCGCCGCCCCCACCACTGTATCACGACTGTGGAGGGACGAACATCCAACAGCAACGATGGACATCCACCCCGCGGCGTATATTCATATCATATGAAGTTGGCCACCGGGGAGCGTTTAGGATTCGTCCTTGGGGGCGCATTCCCAAGGATGAGTGGAACGACCACCCCGAAAACGCTGAAAGTTTCAAGGATTTTGTCCTCGGGCCCAAGGACGCTCTGAGGAGTGTCTAACGAGGCCCTACCGGGGTAGTATATGCTTTAAATTTCATAACACACATCAGCAGAGTTCCCAACCAGCACGATATGGTAAGGATGACACAAACCCAGAGTCTGACACTAAAAGAGGTGGGGAAGGGGGGGACAGGAGGGGCACACACACAGAGAGAGAG